TTATACATGTCTACGGTGCTGTAGTTCAGGATACCTACCTCGTGATCACTCCCAAAAGTCTAATTTCCCTCTATCGCCATGTGGCCTCGAAGTCTGTCAATTTATAATTCCTTGCTTATTTTGGGAGTAACTTATTATAAAAGTGAGATGGGCTTATTGCAGAAAACTTAGAGAGTGTGTAAAAATTCAAAAAAAGAAAAAAAATTAAATCCCACCCAGAGGCAACCTCTGCTGTCACTTGAGTATCATTTATCATTTGAGTTCCACATAGAAATGGTTTTTAAAAATGTATAATCAAGCTCTTGCATAGTTTTACTCAACATTTCATCATAACATTTTCCCAAGTTAAAATGCTCTCATAAGCATAATTTTATGACTGCCTAATATTATGTGGTCTGGGTACACTGTGCTATAATTTCCTTTTTAAAACTTTGTTCTCTCTTTTCATTTACATGCAGTAAAATTCTGCCTTTTGCTCTATAATTCTACACATTTTCTCAAATATGTAGTCACCATGATCACCAAAGTAATCAAGACGCAAAGCATTTCCAGCTCCTCTAGCTGCCTGGTGCTGCCCTTCTGGCATCCACTCCTTCCCCAACTCCTGGCAACACGGATGGGTTTTCTCTCCCTGTAGTCTGGGCTATCCCAGGATGTCATATAAATAGACTGGTACACTAGAAAAGCTTCCGAGTCTGGCTTCTTTCCCTGGCGTAACCCTGTGTGGATCAGCACTTCATTCCCTTCATGGCTGTAGACCATCCCTTTGCCGGGGGCCCACGGCTGGTGAGGTGGTGAGGTGGTGAGGTGGCTTCCAGTGTTTGGTTCTTATGAATAATGTTGCCATAAACATTTGTGTATAGGTTTTTATATAAACATTAGTTCATTTTTCTGAGATGAATTCCTAGCAATTGGATGGCTGAGCAATACGGAAGTGTATGTTTAATGATAAAGAGTTTTTCACCATCTGGGGCCTCCCTGGTGGCACAAGGGGTTAAGTCTCAGCACTAGGACGCTCTCACCAGTCACTCAACTAGAGTTCTGTCCCCAGCCAGGAAACTGACCCACGTGGCACAGCAGACCTCTCCTGTCTCACTTGCTGCTCCCTCATTAGTGTATTTCAGTACAACTGCCTGTTCTGCTCCCCACTCTGTCTCTGATGAATCCTCTCATGCCCCCAACCTTGCACCTCTTGCCTGCACCCCAGCTCTTGTATGCATCATTAAATAAAATCTTTAGAAAAATTTTCCCAGTATAGTCTTTGAATTCCTATCAGCAACTTATGAGCGTTCTGGTTGCCTGTATCTCTGTTCATTCTTGATACTGTGATTTTAAAAAGTGGCAGCTTCTGTAGCAAGTATGTAGTAGCATCTCACTGGTTCTAACTTGAATTTCCCTGATTTAGTTACAGTTAATGATGTTAACAATTGTTTCATGTACTCATGGCCATTCTTTGGTCAAATGTCCAACTCCTTTGTCCACTCCTTAGTCAGGGTTGCTTTTTCTTTTGTCTTTGAGCTTTGAGAGTTCTTTATATATTCTGAATATAAATTTGTTGTTAGATATATTATTTTTAATATTTAGCCCATTTCTGCATTATCTTTGATTCTCCTATGAATATCTTCTGTAAAGCAAGTTTTTAATTTGTCAAAGTCCAATTTTTTTTTTTCTGTCATGGATTGTGTTTTAAGTCACATGTTTTCTCCCAGGTTTTCTTCTAGAAGTTTTAGTGCTTTTATGTTTTACACTGATACTTACTTTATCATTCACTTTTGTTATTTTTATAAGGTATGAAGAATGGGTGTAGAGTGAGCTTGTTGCATGTTCTCACAACACTTGCTGAAAGAAACTCATCTTTCCCTGTTGAATTGCCTCTGCATTTTGTCAAAAGACAATTGACCATATCTCTGTGGTCTATTTTGTTCCATTGATTTATGTGCTAATTCTTTCATCAACACCCATCTGCTTTGAACAGTGTAACAAGTTAAAGTTCTATGCTGTGTCTCCTCCTGTTTTTTAACTCTTTCAAAAACTGTTTTGACAATTCTATTTCTCTTGCTTTTCCATATGGCATTAACATGTTTATGTGGCATTGTTATTTCTTTAACAAAACAAAACAAAACCCTGATGGTATGTTTGTTGGGAGGGTGTCACTTCTATAGACAGTATGAGCCCCCTAACCCACACATGTGGCAAATCTCTCCATTTATTTAGATCTCCCCTGATTTTTCCAGCACTCTTTTATAAAAAGTTTTCAGCATATAGCTCTAACCATATTAGTTTTTTATATGTATTTTAATTTTGGATGAAATTCTAAGTGGTGTGATACTTACATTTTTTTGGAATTCTCTTCCCCCATTTTTTGAGTTCTAATAGTTTATTATGAAAGGTGTGAGATCAGGGCCATCTGGAGGTGCTGAAGCAATGAAAAGAATAAAAGGAAAAATGGGAGAGGGGGCAACGAGGCCAGACGCAGAGGCCAGCAAGGGAGCAGGAGGACTGAGGAAAGTCACGGAGGGCTTCTGTTCTGGAACATTCTGAACCCATGGAGGGTAAAAGGTGGGGCTTTCCTTCCACAGAGGGGCTCGCAAGCCTTGGGAGATCCTGGCGTCTTTCCCCAAAGGCTACGAGATGATCATGGAGCATCTGTTGCAGAGGCTGACTCCGCGCCAGGAACTGAGGGAACATGATCTGAGCTCCCGAGCTCAGCTCTCCCCGCTGATTGTATGGAGGGGCCCGCGGTAGGGGGCTGGGGCTGGGCAGGGGCTCCTGGCCCCTGATGGAGGCTGTCCTGAACTCCCAGAGCCTCTGCCTCTCGACCACTGTTTGGTTGAACATCCTAAGGGCACAGTCTTGGGGTGGGACTGGAGAGACTGTTTTCTAGTTCACTGTCTTTTTGAGAACTGACATTTGTGTTCTCCCTGGGGAAGTTGGGGGGTCAAACCCCCCATGTCCTCAGTCAGCTCTCAAGGAAGGTGAGACCATAGAACAACTGCCACAGTTATAAGAGTAACTAAGAAGACTGGCTCTTCCGGAATCTGCCCTGGGTTTCCCTGGCTCACTAGTTTAGACTTCACTTGCTCCAGCAGCAATGCTTTTGCTGGGCCAGCCCACCAGGTAGCAGGACGCCAGAACTGAAGAGACCATGGTGAGGTCCCCATCTCCTCGCCCCCAGGCCACCAGGGCCATCCATGAGCTCCTTCTGGAACCCACTCGGCGGATGGAGGTGCAGAGCTTCTTCTCCTCCCTGTTCATGGCCCTGCTGTTCCGGATCTCATTTCTTGTGACTGAGGGGGACACAGAGGCATCCCAGGAGCAGCAGCACGGAACTGAGCGGCTGGACCCCGTCAGGTACCTCACCCCTGGGCCTGGGCTGCTTGCGGTGGTGCTCGGGGCCCATCCACCTAGCGCCCAGTCACCCGCCCAGTCCCAGCCAGCCTGCCACTCCTCACACCAGGGCACTGAGCACACCCCACACAGCACATTCACAGGCCTCTTGTTGCTGCTCCAGTAACAGTGGTTTACATCACTGTGAATGACTGAGGCAGATGGGTTCCCAACTCGTACGTCACCCCCGAAGCACTGCCCACCTGGGGGCCCCTGACCCTCTACACAATCCCCTTCCCGCCTCCCCTCCGATGTCCTCTGTTCTGTTGCCAGAATCCAAACATTTGCTTTGTCTGTTTGTTTTGTTTCTTTATAGTCCACATGCATGGATCTTTGGGTATTTGTCTTTCTCCTTCTGACTTATTTGCTTAATGTAATTCCCTCAAGTTCCATCCTTTATCACAAATGGCAAGAGTTCATCTTTTAAATTTTTTTTAAGATTTTATTTTTATGTATTTATGCATATAAGAACCTGGGGTACAGGTCACAGGTGCAGGGGGTGAGTGGATTCACCAGAGACAGAGTGGGGAGCAGAACAGATAGATGTACTGAAATACACTGCTGAGGGGAGCAGCAGAGGAGACAGGACAGGTCTGCTGCTCCCGCCTGGGAGGGTCAGCTCCCTGGCCACAGCTTGATAGTGCTGAGAATTTAACCCCTGCACCACCAGGGAGACCATCTTTTTAGCTTTTACAATTGAGTAGTGTTTGACTGAGACACCTCTGTCCACCTGCCAGTCCTTGGGCACATGGGTGTCTCCATAGCTTGGCTGCAGTGAGTCTGCGGCCCTGAACATGGGAGTGCCCTAGTTTTCAGCTAGATCCCTAGAAATAAAAGAGCTAGAACATTTGGCATTTTTATTTAAAAAAACTAAAACAAAAAACAAAAGCCCTCCAAACTGTTTTCCAAAGTGGCTGTGCCAATTTGATTTCCTGCCAACAGTAAGACTCCTCTACCTCTATACCTTTGTCACTGCTTGTGTTCAACAAGCATACTGGACTTTCTAGAAAAAGACTCTTTTAACTGTGGCTGATGCAGTTTCTAAACCAAAGGGAAATCAGTACAGCAGAGAACAGCCCAGCTGAGTCCCCAGACACGGCATACACATCACGTCTCCTGGGCAGCCATCTTGCTCTTGGCTTCCACTGCCCCCAGTCATAGCTGTTAGCTTGGGGGAACGGGTTCTCCCACCGCCCAGCGGGTTCTGGAACCTACTCAGCGGATGGAGGTGCAGAACTTCTTCTCCTCCCTGTTCATGGCGCTGCTGTTCCGGCTCTCATTTCATGTTTCCAAGGGTGGTGGGGTAAGAGGCAGCTCACAGGAGCGGGAGAGCGCACCTGGGTGACTCCTGCCTGCTTTCTCCCCTGCCCTGCAGTAGCACCGTGGAGGCCCTGAAGACACTGATGCGATGCACGGGTTATGGAGACCACGTGTCTTACGTTCAGAAAGTTGGGGGCTGGGAGCTGCTCACCAGCCCTGAAAATCACTACGAGGGAGTCACTCTGCTGGCCAGGTCAGCCAGGGACCAGGTCCCCTGCTGGGGCGCGCCCGGCCTGTGGGTCCTCTCCACAGCCCCATCGTGACCCCGGAGTCTGTGCTGTCACCGCAGGGCCATGGTCATCAGGAACTGTTGGCACAATCGCCCCATCTTCAGTGTCCTCATCAACATCCTGCAGAAGCAGGACTACACGAATCACTTCACAGCCCTGGTGTTCCTGATTGAGGTGAGCAGACAGGGCCGGCACAGCTGGCAGACATGCCCCACCGGCACCCCAGGGAAGGCCATTTGGGAGGGCTGGGGATACTTAAAAAAAAAATTTTTTTTTTACTTTGTTAAAAAAAGTTATAATTTTTAAATATTTTAATTTAATTTATTTAACCATACAAGAACTGGGGTGTGGGCCAGAGGTACAAGGGGAGAGAAGATTCACCAGAGACGGAGAGGGAAGCAGCAGGCGGGTCACATGCTGCACCATGTGGGTCACCTCCCTGGCCGGGGATCGAACTCAGGCTGCAGCAGTGATAGAGCTGAGACTAACCCCAAGCCACCAGGGAGGCCCTAGGGGACACTGTTAATGACGCTCTAGTAAGTTACCTCAACCACAGGCTTTGAATTTTCCTGGTTAATTCTTCATTGGGCCCCAAAGCTGCACAGCTCTGCTCTGTGCAGTCGCCCTGACTTTGACTCTGTGCCACCTTGACCTTCTGCAGCCAATTAAACTGAATCCCCCAAACACTGATCTTGGACGTTAACCATTCATCTTATTTTAGGTACTTGACAGAAAAAGATTTAGCAAATTTTAAAAAATGGAAAAGAATTTAAAAAATCATAATAAAGTCATTAAGAATCATGATGGCAGAGACATGTCATCTGATGCTGACCGGGCTGGAGGGTGATTTCTTTCAAATAGCACTCCGTATGCTGCTCCCTCGGGGCACCTTTGCTCACTGCACATGTTCTTGTACACATACATTTTAATGGAGATGTGATATTTGATCACAAGTATGCTTGCCAGTGGCATTTTCCTTCTGATTTTGCACTTTCATCAGGAACTCTGTGCAAAAGATTTTGCCCCCATTCTAAGTTATGTTCTTAAATATTGCATAACAAGTGCAGGTATCAGTTTGAAAACTATGGCTTTTTAAATGACTTTTGATACTAATATTACATTGCTTTCCACTGAAGTTCCAGTATGTTCTTCCACCAGCACTGTTTGGGGAAGTTTCAGGGCTTCCAACCCACACAGCTGTCAATAGACATCTTTTAAAATTAAAGCACCTGGCTTTTAAAAAAAAAATCAGGGATGGCGTTATTTTGAACAGAGCCACACAGAGAGAAGGTAGTGCCGTGCTAGTACCAGAATAGGACTGGCATGCCATCATGTGTCTTTATGCGGGCTCCCGGGCCTTGGTGCCTGATTGGGAGGATGCTAGCACGTGAACACTGGCATGGAGACGGAGACCACGCACCTGCACACAGGGGTGTGTTCTGTGGGCTCCTGCTAAGGATATGGGGATGTGGGGAGGGGGTCCAAACACACAGTAGAAGGGGTGCCTGAGCTCTGTGGGAGTCACATGCACACACCAGGGAGAATGTTTACGTGTAGATTACATATACTGAAATACACTACTGAGGGGAGCAGTGGGCAAGACAGAAAGGGTCTGCTGTGCTCTGTGGGTCAGCTCCCTGGCTGGGGCTCGAACTCCTGCTACAGTGGCTGTGGACAGCTTCCTAGTGCTGAGACTTCCTTTGTGCCACCTGGGAGGCTCTGGCCTGAGCATTTTTCAAAACCTATCACCGGGGAGAATGTTTCATGTAGATTCCTGGGAGCTGTCTGCAGAGACTCAGATTCAGGGCAATTTTATGAAGCCCAGAAGTTTTCAAGTGCTTGTGAGTTAGGTGGCGCTTGGTCTCAGCTGTGAGAGAATCTGTCACCTTGGGCTTTGTCTTTACAAGGTACAAGCTGGGGGTGTGGGCACCGTGAGATATGTCGGTCTCTGCAGCTCTGGCTGCACTGAGACTCCTCTGAAGCTTTGAAAACTGTTCAGACCAGGGCTTCCCAGGTAGCACAAGGGAAGTCTCAGTACTAGGAAGCTCTCCACAGTCCCTGCAGCAGGAGTTTGATCCCTGGCCAGGGAGTTGACCCGCATGGCTCAGCAGACCTTTTCTGTCCTGCCTGCTGCTCCCCTCAGTAGGGTAGATCAGTAGATCTGCCTGCTCTGCTTCCCACTCTGTTTCTGGCCAATCCTTTCACCAAACCCCCTGCACCTTGGCCTGCACCCCAGCTCTCGTGAGCATAAATAACTAAATCTTTAAGAAAGTAAAATGTCCAGGCCACACCACTTCACTCACTTCCCACTTCCTGCCTATTTGAGTTGGCCTAGGATGGAGTCTAGGACATTAGTTATTTTAGTAATTCCCAACTTAAAGCTGCATTCTAGAACTACCTAGGATTGACAACCTCTCTAGATGACCCCCCCATCCCCCCCAGTATATAACAGCAGAATAAAAAAGTATACATACAAAGGGCCTTCACTTTCCTGCCCCTTCTGGAATTTGCAGAGGGAAGGGCGGGGTCAGTGTGATTGGCAGGAAGCTGGCAGCAGCTCCCAAGTGGGGCCTGGGGAGAACCTTACTTTTGGCAATTAAGGGAGGCCCAGTTTGAGATGGAGAACCTATGAGGCTTTTATTACAGCTAAGAAAGCAGGTCATGATCTCTATAACCAAGAGACCAGGCGTGAAAGCCTAGTAAGATGTCACAGTCCTGACAGCTCCTCTGTTTAGTTGTTCTGTCCCCGTTCCCGTGATCATCCCGAGAAGGATCTAAAGCAGAAGGACCTTTCTTCAGGGTCCTCAGAAACAGTGGTGTGCGAGTATTTTCATTCTCATTGTAATTCTGTGCAAAAGATGTATTTCTGTTTTGTAGAGGATAAAACCGAGGTTCAGAGACTTCGAGAAACTTGTTCAACTAGTAAAGTAAATTAGGCGGGTTTGCCTGGCTGCCAATCAAAGACAGGCAAAAACTGCCACGTCGCTTAGGAAACTTCCTAGTTGTCAGGACCCCAAGCTACAGCAGAGACACACACTCACACACACAACAGAAGTGCATTACTCTGTTGCTCAGTAGTTGCTGTCTTTTTAAACTTTATTTTAAATAACATATATACACCTATAATGTTACAGGGCTAAACAAATTAAATTATAAATTCCTTTTATATAAATGTACAAATGAAATCACACATGCTATTTAATAAACATACAAATGAAATCACACGCGATGTTTAATAAATACACAAATGAAATCATGGTTTCTATATTTTTAAGATTTATTTATTGATGCATACAAGAGCTGGGGTGTAGGCCAGACATGCAGGAGGGGAGAGGATTCACCAGAGACAGGGTGGGGAGCAGAACAAGTAGATTCACTGAAACACACTGCTGAGGGGATCGGTGGGCAAGACAGGAGAGGTCTGATGCAGTTTCAGCACAAGTTTGATCCCTGGCTAGGGAGGTGACCCACAGGGCAGAGCAGACCTCTCCTGACCCGCCCGCTGCTCCTCTCAGCAGTTTACTTCATCAGTCTGCCTGTTCTGCTCCCCACTCTGTCTCTGGTGGATCCTGTCACCGCCCCAGCACCTCTAAGCCTGTACCCCAGTTCTGTATGCGTAAAGAAATACAAATGTTAAAAAAAAAAAAAAAGGCAGGAAAAATTTGCTCTCGAAGGCACAGCCAGTCCTGACTACCTGGGAGTCAGTGTTGCTTGCTCAATCTCACCCTCGTGCTCTCATGGGCCCCAATACAGCCACGTGCTCCCTCACTTGGTGCCTGAGTGTCCTTTACCTCTAAAATGCTTTCTGCTGGGCAGCTGTTTTAGTTTTCTCCTCTCCAATAAGTCAATCTAACTGATGGGATAAGTCAATTTAACTGACTTCTCTACTCCCACCACTCTGTCCTGATCCTACCTGTGCTGCAATAACTTCAAAGGAGCACCTGGTCTACCTCCCAGGCTGTCTGTCCTGCCCACCCAACACGTCCTCATAGCCCACTCCTCTCACTATGGGTCATCAATTCTGTCCTAACATTGCATCTTTGCTTTGTGCTATCGCTTCTCCCCACCTCTCTCTCTCTCTCTATCCCTCTCTCTCTCTCTCTCTCTCTCTCACACACACACACATATACACACACTTTCCTCTGAACTGTTCATTGAACTTCTCAAGGTCAACCACTTTCATAAACTTTCCCTAGATGAATCAACACGTTTGAATAATTTTTTTGACTTGATTTTCGTTTGTGCAACATCGTTAATGCTGTGAGAAGTTATCAAGTGATCCCTGGACATAGCCTGCTCCTGACCAAGTGGCCAGGAGTCTCGAGGGCAGAGAGCATGTCTGGACTTTATCTGCTACATGTCTCCTATTAAGGGCAGCACAGAAGGAAAACTCGGAGAATGAACGAATGTCTTCTAGACTAGCAGGGTGTGACGCTACCCTTCAGCTAAGCTCTGGCCTTCCTGCCAGTTCTAATTCCTGAAGGACGTTTCTTTATTCATGAGTGGGAACCTAGACCCAAAGTTAGGAACACTTTCTCCTGACGCTTCTTCTCGGTCCTTCTCGCCTCCTTCCCCCAGCTGCTCCGGTGCCCTCAAGTGGCAGCCATTGTGGATGATGCCGCTGCCCGCATCCTGGGCAACTGGTTCAAGTGTGAGGATCCAGCCACCGTGAAGCTCCTGCTGCAGGTGGTAGAGATCTTCGCGAAGCATGGAAACATGGTGAGAAGCGAGGGCGGAGTCTGCTGTGGAGGGACAGACAGATCTAGGGGGGCCAGTGCATACAGATACAGGCGGCTGGGGCACACTCAGAATCTGACAGAGCAAATCCTCATGAAGCCAGTCCTAGGAGGACAGGGCTCGGGGGCTTCAGGACTAAATGCTTCTCCTCTCCCCAACCCCCCTCCTCCACCCCCTCACCCCTTTCATATGCACAG